ACCTAAGGCTCCAGTGCTCACTACGTAACAGACAGGTTATGACAAAAAAAATGGCCCAAATGAAAGAACAAATTAAAGCTCCATTAAAAATACAACTAAGCAACGAAGAGATAGCCAACCTATTTGATGAGCAGTTCAAAACACTGGTAATAAGAATGCTCACAGAATTGGTTGAATTTGGTCACAAATTAGATGAAAAAACGAAGGCTACACTAAGTGAAATACAGGAAAATGTACAGGGAACCAATAGTGATGGGAAGGAAACTGGGACTCAAATCAATGGAGTGGACCAGAAGAAGAAAGAAACATCTGGTCAGAAAAGAATGAAGAAACAAGAATTTAAAATAATGAGGAGAGGCTTAGGAACCTCCAGGACATCTTTAAATGTTCCAACATCTGAATTATAGGGATACCAGAGGGAGAAGAGGAAGAGCAACAAGTGGAAAGGTTATCCGAAAAAATAATAAAGGAGAACGTCCCCATTCTGGCTAAGGAAATAGACTTCCAGGAAGTCCAAGAAGCTCAGAGTCCCAAAGAAGTTGGACCCAAGGAGGAACACACCAAGGCCCATCATAATTACATTACCCAAGATTAAAATGAAGGAGAGAATCCTAGAATCAGCAAGAGATAAGGAGGCAGTTACCTACAAAGGAGTTCCCATCAGACTGTCAACTGATTTCTCAAAAGAGACCTTGCAGGCAAGAAGGGGCTGGAAAGAAGTATTTGAAGTCATGAAAGGCAAGGACCTACATCCAAGATTGCACTATCCAGCAAAGCTTTAATTCAGAATGGAGGGCAGATAAACTGCTTCTCAGATAAGGTCAAGTTAAAGGAGTTCATCATCACCAAGCCCTTATTATATGAAATGCTAAAGGGACTTATGTAAGAAAAAGAAGATAAAAAACATGAACAGTAAAAAGACAGCAAACTCACAGTTATTAACAACCACACCTAAAACAAAAGCAAACTAAGCAAAAAGTAGAATAGGAACAGAACCACAGAAATGGAGATCACATGGAGGGTTAGCAACAGGGGAGTGGGAGGAGGAGAGGGGGAAAAATACAGAGAATAAGTAGCACAGATGGTAGGTAGAAAATAGACAGGGGGAGGTTAAGAATAGTATGAGAAATGTAGAAGCTGAAGAACTTACATGTATGACACATGGATGTGAACTAAAGGGGGAGAATATGGGTGGCAGGGGGTGTGCAGGGTGGAGGGGAGTGAAGGGGGGAAAATGGGACAACTTTCATATCATAATCGATAAAAATATTTTAGAAAAACCACAAAGAAAGACAAGGCAAAAAAAACTAACAAATAAATATTATAGGGACAAGAGAGATAGGAGCAGGTGCCTATGAAAGTCTAGAATTTGAATATATGAACCAAATTTTAAAAATCAACTATTTCTCAGTAAAATGATACCGATTGGGCTGGAAAGCCAGAGTATCTGAGTTCAAGGACTAGTTTAGCTACTAACTTAACCACTAATCTCTCCATCCAATCCTTTGGTCTTTCAGTTCCTTGATCTCCTTGGCTCATATTATATTTTCTCCCATCCTATCTCAGCCAGCCACTCCCAAGACCACAAATCTCAAATGGCTCCTCCATCCTGCCCATTGTGCTTCTTCAATACTGCTGTAGATTGAATGTATCCCCTCAAAATCCATATGTTGAAATCCTAATTGCCAGCGTGATGGTCCTGGGATGTGGGGACTTTTGTGGGTGATTAGGACACGAGGGCTTATTGGGTGCTCTTATGGAAAAGACCTTGAGAGCTCCCTTCCCCCTTTCAGACATCTGTGAACCAAGAATCAGTCCTCACCAGACACTGAATTTGCAAGCATCTTGATCTCGGGCTTTCCAGCCTCTAGAACTGTGAGAAAGAAACTCCTGTTGTTTATAAGCAATGAATTTATGCTATTTTTGTTACAGCAGCCTGAACAGACTAAGGCAAGTATTACTAATGTTTATCTCTGAAATGACTATTATCTCTTTTCTCCATAAAATTCCTATCCAAACATTGCTCCTCTCCCCTTACTGATCTCACCCCATACTTTATAGTTGAGGAAAAGAGAATAAATATCAATCAGAATCTCTCTCCTCTTCTGATCACTAAATCTATCCATGTACCTGCATCTTTACCTGTATCTGCTGCCTTTGTTCCCTTTACTATAAATTTCACATTCGTGTTCCCAAGCCAACATTTCTACATATTCCCTGGATCCCATCTCCTCCCATTTTCTCAAAAACTGTTCTTTTAAAATATACATTTTCTCTTACACTATAATTGTTTCCTCTTGATCGGATTATTCCCATTAGCCTAAAAATAAACCTACATATCTTTGTCCTTAAGAATCTTATTTTGACTCCATGTATGCCTTTATCACCTCCATTTTCAGGTCTTCTTCATACAAAAAGATCTTGTGATGTCTTGAAATGGAAGTGCTACTTCCATTTCTTCACATCACATTTGCTTTTCATTGTGCTCGTTAAGTCACATAACTACTATGTGTTGGTCCAATGGTCAGATCTCTTTATTTTACTCTCAGTGTGTTTTAATATCATTTGCTATGCTTCATTGTCTTTAGCTTTTAAGTCACCACACTCTTGAGGTTCCTTCCCACTTCACTGGCTATTCCTTCTCCAGGTGCTTTGCTTGCTTCTTTTCCTCTACTTTACCTCTAATCCTTGGCCTGCTCTCTGAGAACATACTTTCCCTCAGTAGTTTTTTTTCACATGATAATGACTCTCAACTTCATACCTTTGGTCCCTTATGAAGAAGTCAAGACTCAGAACTTACATTAGATTTCTAATAAGCATATCAAACTTAAGGTGAATAAAATAAAAATACCCTTCTACCCCCACACACATTTTCTTCCCTAGTCTCTTCCATTTGGTATATGGTACAAATATCCCCTCAACCTGTTCTCCGTTTTTTCTCACCTCTCCTTTCAAAACATAATCAAGTCTGTGGGCTATGTTCAAAGTATAGCTCATCTCCCTCCACATCTATGCCACTTTATCCCAAACTACTGTCATGCCTTCCTGGTTTCTGCAATTGTCTTCTGCCACTAATGTTGCACCTCAACCCCCATGATCCATTCACTATGTAACAAGTGGAATAACCTTTTTAGAATATAAATCAGATTATATCACTCCCTTCCAGAAAACTCTCTACTGATTTCTTATCTACTTCAGATAAATTCTAAACTTACTCCATGACTAGGTCCCCATGGACAAATGAAGGCCATACGAGATTCGGCCCTACCCTATCTCTTCAAGCTCATCTTGTACCACTTTCTCGACATTTCAGCTACAGCAATCTTTATCATGTTCCTTGACAAAGCCAAGCACTTTCCCACCTTAGGGCTTTTGCAATGGGAGTTCCTCTTATCTGCAATGTTCTCTTTCCCAATACTTCCATGGTTGGCTTTTTATTTTTTATATTACTAAAGTCTCAGCAAAATGTCACTTCTCCAGAGAGGCTTTCCCTAACCACTCAGTCTAAAGTAACCCCTCCCCAATCTTTCTCACTTCACACTATTTTACTTCTTCACTACATTTACCATTATCCACAATTTCTTTGTTCATATATTGTTTACCTGTTTATTTTCTATCTTCTATTTAAGCTCCATTTTAGTGTTTCTTACCATTGTATTCATAATGCCTGATGAAGTAGTAGTTTCCTGAAAAATATTTTATGAGTGCCTATCTAAGTCACTCAGTCTAACTCACATTTGTGGGCTCACTACAGCTGATTTAGCTCTAGGTCCGGAGAATACAAAGGCAAATAAAGCATGACTCCCTGTGAATCTCAACCATTCATACCTTCAACAAACATTTACTGAACATATATTATGCTGTGTTCCAGTACCTGGAACATCTCAGTGCTGCTGCATCTCAGTGTTCAGTGTCCTGTTCAGTAAAACAGAGTTTTGTTGAGCTTCTCTCCTTCATAGAAGTGTATAAACAGGATGAGTATGAAAATAATGTACAAAATGTGAAGTGTTATAAAAATGCTATTTTATATATTACTATTACTGGCCCTGCTTCTTTCCTTGTGTCTGGTAAAGGGCAGGAGGTCACGACACCTGAGAGCCAATTGACAAAAACAGCAGTATAAATTTTGATACTCACAGAAAGCAATAAATAGGAATGCCCTTTTCAGAGGCACATAGTGACGAAATGTATGAGCACGAATTCTTTAGGTGCGACAGTAATAAGTGTTAATTTTCTCCACTTCTGTTACACAAATAATAATTCCGTGTAACTGTGGAAAATCAGGAGGTGGGCTGTGGCCTCCGGGTGACACTCATGCCCGCTGCCTCTCTCCAACACCTCATCGGATCTTTCATGGGCTATAAATAAAGGCACACCTAGAGGGAGGTTAGGGGCCAGTAGAGGGTCTGCAGGGCCCTGTATGAACTCCTCAGTGATGTGCCTGACACACCGTATGTGTGTAAGCACTGTCCTTAATCCTTCAAAAGCACTGACCTAAAGTACTTGTCCACTGCGATAAAGCCAACAGAAAGAGGCGGGGGGGGGGCGGTGAGGGGCTTTGGGGCAAGAGAGGAAGGGAGGAGAGCCGTTCCAGGATCAGCAACCATCACTGAAACACATCTCTGATTATGAGGCGCATGTGAAGGATTTGCAGATATTCACCATCTGTACAATACTCAGCGCTTAATAAAATTAATTTTGCAGTCGGTCTTGACTGACCTGCCTTACTTGCAAGTAAAACGAGAAACAAGAGGAATGGGGAGAATAATGAAGAGAGAGGTGGGATGAGGGAGGAAAGAAACGTTTCAGGGTGGCGGGGCTGGGGGGATGGAGAAAAAGGTCTGTGGCTGTTTCCCCAGAGTCTGACAATGCAGCAGATGTTTGCTCCCTTTAACTGAAGCATGGGCAAAGGCGTTCCTGGGGATACTGGAAAGGAATGACCGCAGGAGGGGCTGGTGCCCCTCCTGGAAAGGGAGAGAGTGGAGAAAAATGGACTGTACCTGCAATTCTTTCAGCATACCCCACTGACCCTGGCGCCGCCCTAACGCCCAGCAACCGCCGCGTACAGCCCGCGCGCTGCTTTAAGGCAAAACACAGAGGGCTCTTCCAAAGGTGGAGGGGCGGGGCCTGAGCAGTGGGCGGGCCCTGGTGGGCGGGGGCGGGGCTCTGGTGGCTACGCGTTTAAGTTGCGTTGTGGCTGCTGCCACCTACTGAAACGTGAGTTGTGGGGTTTTCCCGGACCTTCTGGTGTGTGCTTTGGTCTATTCAACCTTTTTCTTTGGACGTGTCTTGAATATTGACCTATATTGAACTGTAAAAGTCCTGGCACATAGTTGATGACAGGGCCCTTTAATCAAAAGGTAGTGGCAGCGGCTACACGTGCCAGAACTAATTTGTGACAAGTCAGATCTTGTTTCCCCTTAAGTCAGTTTAAATACCATGAAAGAACATAGTCTCTGGGGTCAAGACTGTCTGGGCCAAAGTTCAGCACTGCTACTTTATAGCGATGGGACCAGGACCGCAGTCAAATACATAACTCCCCGAGCTTCAGTTTTTTCATCTATAAAGGACGTGGTGATGCGAATTAAATGACATGTTTGGAACAGGGATTGGCACAGAGTAAACACTCAATACACTATTACCAATAGAGACTCTTTGGTTCCGCTCTCCCCCCCCCCCATGAAATCTCATGTGGAAATCTTCACGTAAACCACCGCACAGAACAAACCCACGCGTGAGCCACGCCGGATCCCCCACGAGCACCGGGGTGCGCGCCATTTCCCCGGCTCTGGCCACGCCCCCACATACAGCGTCACAACCCAGCGACCTGGGAAGCCAAGGCGCCGCTTCTTAAAGGGCCCGAACAGACCAAGAATGGCGCAGGAGGATCTCAGAGCCCCAGAGCCAATAAATCTAAGCGATGAAGAAATAGCAAAACTCACAGACGCACAGTTTAAAACATTGGTGATCAGGATCCTCACAGAACTGGTTGATTATACCGACAAATTAGACAAATATATGAAGGCGAAACTAATTGAAATGAATGGAATTGCACAGGACACCAATAGCAATGAAAAGGGACTCAAACTGGGACTCAAATCAATGGAGTGGACCAGAAGAAAGCAAATAATGGCCAAACAGAAAAGAGTCAAGAAGCAAGAATTCAAAGAAATGAGGAGAGTCTTAGGAACCTCCAGGACATCTTTAAACGCTCCAACATCCGAATTATAGGGGTACCAGAAGGGGAAAGGCACAGCCACCGTGGAAAACTTATTTGAACAAATAATAAAGGAGAATTTCCCCAATCTGGCAAAGGAAATAGACTTCCAGGAAATCCAGGAAGCTCAGAGAGTCCCAAAGAAGTTGGACCCAAGAAGGAACACACCCAGGCACATCATCATTACATTAGCCAAGATTAAAATGAAGGAGAGAATCCTAGAAGCAGCAAGAGCTAAGGGGACAGTCACCTACAAAGGAGTCCCCATCAGACTGTCAGTGGATTTCTCAAAAGAGACCTTACAGGCAAGAAGGGGCTGGAAAGAGGTATTCCAAGTCATGAAATCCAAAGACCTACAACCAAGATTGCTCTATCCAGCAAAACTTTCATTTAAAATAGAAGGACAGATAAGGTGCTTCTCAGATAAGATCAAATTCAAGGAGTTCATCATCACCAAGCCCTTATTATATGAAATGTTAAAGGGACTTATCTAAGAAAAAGAAGTTAAAGAAACATGAACAGTGAAAGGACAACAAACTCACAGTTATTAACAACCACACCTAAAACGAAAGCAAACTAAAAGGACAGCTAGATCAGGAGTGGAAACATAGAAATGAAGATCACGTGGAGGGTTAGCAACAGGGGAGTGGGAGGAGGAGAAGGGGGGAGAAGGTACAGAAAATAAGTAGCATAGACAGTAGATAGAAAATAGATGGGGGGGGCAAGAATAGCAAGGGAAATATAGAATCTAAAGGACTTGAGACACATGGTCATAAGCTAAAGGGGGGTGATGGTGGGGATGGGGGGTAGGGTGGAGGGGAATAAAGGGGGAATAGAACAACAACAACAAAAAAAACAAAGAAAGCACAGTTGCTCTGGTTGAAGGTGGGCGGGAAAGCTTTGGCTTCTCAGTCCCAAAGGTGGTCTGTAAGGTTTCTCTAATGGAATCCCCAAGCTTCCTAACATGTAGACAAAAGCAACTTATCGGAGAAAGGCCGAAGTTCTTAGAAAGACAAACTGCCCGTTTCTATTTTCATTTCAAACAACTTTTACTTCTGCACACACTGTATTTATTCCTCTGTCTCCATGTCTTTCCCTAATTGTTCCATCCATTGAGAGTGTTCTGTTCATTAAAAAAAAAAAGGCTTTATTTATTTATTTTTAGAGAGGAGAAAGGAGGGAGAAGGAGAGAGAAACATCGATGTGAGAGAGAAAAACAGTGATTGGTTGCTTTTCACATGTACCCCAACCTGGGAGAGTGCCCACAACCTAGGTGTGTACCCTGACTGGGAATTGAACTGCTGACCTTTCTCTTTGTGGGACAACATTCAACCAACTGAGCCAGACCAGTCAGGGTTCTTCTCCTTATTTATCATTTAACGTCTGATTAAAATTACAACTCTTTTGTGGATGACCAAATAAGAAATTTTCATTTTATTATAATCCCCTTTCACCTTCAACATATCTCTGCCATGTGCTTGGAACTTTACAACCCAATATGCTGGAGTACATATCTCAGCAAGGATTAAAAGCTATTTTCTGCCCCATTTTTGCAGTAGACAGGGCTGTTGTGATTATAAGGCTTATGTGATTTCCATATGTGACCATTTGGAAATGCTTTTTGTTTTCATGGTAGCAAAAGGAAAAGCAGCAAAGTTCCCAAGCATCATGGGAGGAGAGACAGAGGGTAGAGCTGAGAAGGAGGGTCTGGAGGGGAGTCTGATGCCTCCAGGGCACTGCTCCTTGCCCCAGATACAGCCTTTTGTGGTGCATGGGATGACACTTCAACCAACTGAGTAACCTGGCCAGGGTCACTATGTCTTCTGATTGGAGCATTTAAGCCATTTACATTTAAAGTGATTGTTGATGGGTACATATTTATTGCCACTTTATTCTTTTAACTATATTTGTTTCTCCTCTTCCTCTTCCTCCTCCTTCTTCTGGAAGGCCCTCTAATGTGTCTTGTATTGATGGTTTGGTGATAACAAATTCCTTTAGCTGGATAAAGCAGTCTTGATTGTAGGTCCTTGCTTGTCATCACTTTGAATATTTTATGGCATTATTTTCTGGCTTGAAATGTTTTTTGTTGAGAAATCAGCTGACAGTCTTATAGGAGCTCCCTTGTAGGTACTGTCTTTTCCTTGCTGCTTTTAAGATTCTCTCTCTTTAAACTGCCATTTTAGTTATGATGGGTCTTGGCGTGTGGGTCCCTTTGGGTCCTTCTTGTTTGTGACTCTCTGAGGTTTCTGGTCTTGTGTGTGTTTTTCCTTCATTAGGTGAAGGAAGTTTTTATTATTTCTTCAAATAGGTTCTCAATTCCTTACTCTCTCTCTCCTCCTTCTCATACACCTATCATGTGAAGGTTGTTACACTTCATGTTGTCTCAAAAATCTATTAACTATCCTCATTAAACATTTTTTGTTGCTCTATTTTCTGCTACATTGTCTTCCAAATTGCTTATTCTATTCTCTGCTTCATCCAAACTACTATTTATTCCTTCTAGTGTATTTTTCGTTTCAGGTATTATATTTTTTATTTCTGACTGGTTCTTTTTGATGATTTGTATGTTCTTTTTTTTTTTATGTTTGCCTTGTTTTTGTTGAAGTTCTCATTAAGTACCTTGAGCATCCTTATAATAACCCTTTGAATTCTATATCTGGTAAATTGTTTGTCTCCATTTCATTTAGCTCTTTTTATGGAGATTTCTCCTGGTTTTCTTCTTCATTTTTGTATCTCCATTTTGGCTGCCTCTTTGTTTTTGTTTTCTATGTATTAGATAGATCTACTATGACTCCCCATTTTGGTAGGGTGTCCTTATGTAGTAAGTGTCCTGTGGGACCCAACGGTGCAGTCTCCTTGATCACCTGAGCCAGGTGCTCCAAGAATGTCCCTTGTGTGGGTTATGTTGGCCCTCTTGTAGCTGAGTCTTGATTGCTATTGGCCCATTTGTGCATGGTATCAGCCCTCCGGCTAACTGACTACGAGGATCAACCCCAACCACAGTGTGCAACTGCTGTTATGGTGCTGACCAAATGGAGCAGAATTTGCCTTGCAGGCACTGGTGCCTTGTGGGATCTCTCTTTGGATATGCCACTTATGGAACTAAATGGATCGGGCTTTGATGTTGTCTGAGCTGGCCACTAGGTGTACTGTTCCAGAGCCTCTTTGTGGGGACACTGGTGTAGGCCAATATCGGACACTGCCTATGACTGGCCCTGAGCACCATGATCAGAGCTACAAAACAATCTACAGTTTGTGGCTTCCTCTCCTAGGCCTGGTTGTGTGTGGGAAGGATAAAGCTGTGCACCAAGGCTGGTTTTTATTATCAATGGGCCTGAGGACAGACAGATCAGCAAAAGTCCCAAGGAACCCCAAGATCTGCCATCTGTCTCCGCTTGCCAGTTGTCTGTTAGGCTCAGTCACTGAAAAAGCCTCTGGAAGCACTCGTGTTGCATTGGGTACGTTCTCAGTGAGTCACCAGGTAGGGGTGAGTGGTGTTCATCAGAATGATACAGGTTCAAACTCTGTGCCAGCACTGGGTCTGAGACCACTCAGCAAAAGTTCCAGGGCATGCCAAGTCTAGGTGTCAGGAGCAGTATGTTTACACACCTCTGTGGTGGGTGGGGTCTCAGGGAGTCATCAGGGTGAGGCCAGCGGAGTTTATCAGGCCCAAACAGACCCAGGTTTGGCCATTTGGAGATAGGGCTCTGCACAAGTAGGGTGTGCAACGAAAAAATTTTCCTCGTCCTAGAGCCGGACAAGTAAGTGTCTGCCAAGAGCCCAATGTCAGCACTGTGGGATTACCAGGAGTTGGGAGATGGAGAGGAACTCATCAAAGTTGGGAGA